GGCCCCAACTTTCCAGAAGAGAAGGAGATATGGATGCATACTCCACTGCTGAAGTTGGGTTTCGAAATTATTTTTTAGTATTTTTTAGATTAAAATTATTTTTAAAAATTGATGAATGCAATGAGAAAGTTTTTTTTTTTTTTTGGGCTTCCTTTTATGTATTTACTTACTTTTTATTTATTTATTATTATTTTTTTTTTTATATAAAAATTTTCTTAATACTAGTTAGATCCTTTTAGACTAAAAAGATCTGAAAAGTAAATTAATTTTTTTTATACCATTAATCTTGTTAATTTTTTTTCCCTCATAATTATAAGTTAAACTAGTTATAGTCAAAAAATGACCACAAGGCGGGTTTGTCATCTCTCGCTCCTGTCCTAATCCCGTTATGGGTAGAATTTTTCAATTCCATCTCTGTCCTGCAAATACCTACGGATGCCTGATACTTGTGAATACCTTAGCACACTAAATAATTTTTCTTATTTCTATATATATAAACAGTAAGACTTTTAAGATTATCATTTATTTATATTTAAACAAAATCACAAACTTTTAATATTATTTTCTTATATCTAATTATATTATATATACATATATATACATATATTATTTATTTATATATATATATTATTAATTATATTGGATCAGGTTTAGATCGAATAAGACGATACCTGCCCTTGCCCCTTCCCTCGTCTATCCCCATTCCCGTCGCAAGTGATCAAAATATAATACACCAATGCCCCATATAAGTGTCGGGTTTGGTAAAACCCACCCAATTCGGAAGGATATGGATAAACTTTACAGATCGGATAAAAATAATCATCCCTTAGCCAAATGCTCTAGTGTTTTTTTTTTTTTAATTAATCAATTAGCTAAAAAGTGGCTTAAAAACTGTAACCAAACAAAACGTTAAAGTTGGGAACCGTTAAAAAAGTCTACTCCACATGTGAAAAGAATAGAATTCGTTCGTGAGGAACTAATTTTGAAAGGTAAAGGAACTGATTTTGAAAAACAAAAACAACTTTTTTTTGGTTGAAAATGTCTAGGTACCTTCACTGATCTGATGGGGAAAATTCGGAAGAGTTTCTAATATATTTCATTTTATTTCTTTCTCCCCACAAATATAATATTTTTCAATTTAAGAAGCGAGTTGTTAAAAAAAACAAATTTGGTTGATTTTTTTCTCATTACATACAATATTCAGTTTCTAGTAACCGAATCCCATCAAAATCGACCGATTCATGTATCTAATATGTCATATAGATGATATAGGGTATCTAATACTTGAAGAAAGACTTGTGGGCTTGTTACTTTTGTTTTTAAAAAGACTTAAAAGTATCTCAAATTAGCACTTCGCTGATCTACATGCTTTCAATAGCCATCTTAAAAAAAAAATTGTATGTTGAGGAGGGAGGTTATTAGTGGGCTTGTATTTTGTTAAAGATTTGATCAACTTGTGAATTGTGATTCTACAAGTTTGTATTTCTATTAGAACTTATTGTGGAGTAGTGATTTTGTTAAAGGCTTGGACTCCCAATTTTATTTTAATCTCATTTTTTTTTTTTTTTTAAAAAAAAGTCTCAATTTGAAAGACTCAAACTGAATCAACAACACCGCACCGAACCAAACCTAACCGATGCTCAACGATTTTTAGGTGTAAGTTGATGTTCCTAAAGGCCTGCTTTGGTGAATGGAATTTGCAAATCAATAATAGGTTCGGTTTGATGCAGTGCTTCATACACTCAGGCCACAGCCCATCCTTTTGATGGGTTAGGCACTTTTTGAAGGCCCATATTTTATGCTCTTTAATCTTTGTCAATGGCCCATAAAATTTCTCTCCTCCCATTTAATAACGAATGAGTTCAAAAAGCTAAAAAGAGAAATATTCCTCATTATCCAAAGCTTATAAAAAAAAAAATTCTTTGTCCATGTAGAGGTCATACAAAATTTTAAAAAAACTTAGGTGTAGACTCTAATAATAAGATTTGAAAAAAAATTACTGAATTTTAAAAATTTAACAAAATTATATTGGGTTTTTTAAAAATTTTAATTCATATAATATGTATAGCCCACTTGTTGCTAGTAATTTATTAATTACATTGATAAAAATATTATGTTATCATAATTTTTATATAAAAATATATAGTTTATCTTAGTACCACTATATCTTCATATTTGTATTACTTTTAATTACTCTCTCCGTCTTAAAATATTAGTCTATTATTTAATTTTTTATTATCTCAAAATATTAGTCCATTTTCAAAAATTAAGAACTAAAATAATGTAAATTTTTTATTTTGTCTTTCTTTTAAATTCATTAATAACATAAAAGTACAATTATGATAATTAATATTTCAAAAAAAAATATTATTAAAGGATAATTTTGAAAAATTAGTTTTTTTAAAATGAAATAATTATACTATCAAAAAAGTTGAATTTTCGAAAAGAGACTATTATTTTAAGATAAAAGGGAACACTTTAATTCGAAAGCGAAATTAATTATTTTGAACTTGCAAAATTTATTATATACATATTTTTTAAAATAAAAAAAATAATCATTGTTATTTATCAGTCCAACAAATCAAATATCAAAGTATAAAAAATAAAAAATAAAAAAAAAGAATAATGTTAGAAATTCTAAAAATTTTACCAAATATCTCACATAGGTGTGAACTCATATCATGTGAGTCTTATATAGGTCTCACATCTATGTGAGATATTTGATATAAATTTTTTTGAAATTTCTAGTATTTTTGTAAAAAATAAAAATAAAAATAAAAACAAAAGATAAAAGATAAAAGATAAAAAAAACAAGGGGAACTTACTGATAAGTCCCATGTACCAAGTTCAAGATCCGGCTAATCCCAAAACAAAACACTTGCACCAATTAGTACAATACATTTTTAATTGTTACCAAAAAATCCTTTTTTTTTTTTTTAATTTACAGACACTGTTCACATCTTACTACCATCGGACTTCCGTCAAACGGTTGCCGAAGACTCGTCAGATTGTTCAACATCGCCGGGAAGTTGCCGGAGTCAAATTAATCAAACTGAAAAACATGTTATGAAACTGTAAAATTTTACAGTTTTATACCATGATTCATTCCAGTACCAAAAAAATTTGAAACTGCAAAATTTTACAGTTTTTACCGCCTGTAACTAAAACTCGAAAATTACTTGTTCAGAATCTGTTATTCTCTCCTTCTTCCTCTGTTATTAGTTTTTTTTTTTTATTTGTGTAAATTTGGTAGATTTGTGTATTTTGATTTTTTAATTTAGATTTAGGTTTTGTTTTTGATTTTTTCGAAGAGCAGGGTTGCGATTTGGATGAAGACTTCTACAAAAGGATTGCATTATTCAGTGAATGACTTCATATATAATCTAGATCAAGTGAGATATTGCGCCAGTGGTAAGTAATTTCAGAAATTGAGAGAGCATGAGTGGAAAGAACATGATTTGGTAACGGTGGATCTTGACTTGGAACTTGGATGCTGCCAGTTTTATTTTTGCTTTTGTTGTTATCCTCACGTTTGGGTAAAGCTGGACTGCTCTGCTGTTGCTGCTGAAAACAAAGGCAGAGGGAAAGGAAGAAAAACGAGAGAAGAAAACGTAAAGAGGGAAGCACAAAGCAGAAAAATAGAGGAAAAGGATTTTTGGGTGTACTCAAAAAGTTATGGGATTAAATGGTATCCACATATTCCACATGGGACCTGTAGGTAATTTCCCCAAAAAAGAATCATTGGGGGATGGACCCAAAGTGGGCCAAGCCTTCTTTCATGCTTTTGGGTCGTTAGGATAAGAAGAAGGCCTTGAGAGAGACCCCCAAAATCGAAATAAGTTTCCACGCTTCCCAATTCATTGCAGACTCAACAAGACACTCGCTCGCGTCATCTACACCAAGAAGGACGCGGGGTCCCTGCAGTAGGTTATCCCTGCTGTGCTTGCTGTCCCTAAAACAACATCGTTTAATCTTCTTCTATTTTTTTTTTTTTTTTCATGTTCTGACTTTATTTTTTTGGCATGATAAATTACATTTTACTCTAAATCTTAAATCTTAAATCTTAAAATAAAAATAAATAAATTTTAAGAATTAAATCCAAACCCTAAACCCTAAAATAATTTTAAAAAAATTTATCCCTAAACCCTAAAATAAAAAATAATAATAAATTTTAAGAATTAAACCCTAAATCCTAAACCTTAAACCATAAAATAAAAATAAAAAAATTTAAGAATTAAATCCTAAACCATAGATCCTAAACCCTAAAATAAAAAATAAATTTTAAAAATTAAACCCTAAAACCTAAACTCTAAAATAAAAAAAAAATTATCCCTAAACCCTAAAATAAAAAAATAAATTTTATCCCTAAATCATAAAATAAAATAAAAATAAATTTTAAAAACTAAACCCTAAATTCTAAACTCTAAAATAAATAAAAAAATAAATAAATTTTAAGAATTAAAGTAAAAAAGTGACCAACCGAACAAAAAAAAAAAAAAGAAGAAGCAAATACATACAAAACGCCACCGTTTCATTCCACAGCAAGAACAGCAGTGAGGGGCTCACGGCAGGGACCCCTCATCCAATAACCAAAAAGGGCCAATTTGGGAACATGGTTAAAAGTCAATATAAAATAATAAAACAAATAAAAAAATACAAAAGCATTAAAAATTAATACCCAAAAAAAAAATGTCCAACATGTAAAAAATTAAATAAAAAAATAAAAAAAATTTCAAAAAAAAATAAAACAAATAAAATAATAACTTTTACTTAACAAAAAATATAAAAAATTAAACATTAATGTTAAAAAAAAAATGCCCGACATATAAAAATAAAATAAAAAAAAAATAAATAAATAAATTTCTAATCCGTCGGATTATTTTTCTAATACTCAGTCCTAGAGACTCATCCAAATCCCCTTGACAAGGCTCATCCTAATCCGGAGCTCACCATCAATTCCATCTTCATCCCTCGAAACAAATACAACATTAACACAGTGCCAATCCCAATTCCCCTCCATCTCTCTAAACAAACTGCCAATCCCAATCCCCTCCATCTCTCTATACAGACGGGCCTAAATATACACAATAGATAAATATTTACACAAGCAAAGCCGTCCCCCAATTCTGTTTCCTCAGATCACAAAAAGACACCCAATACACAGTATAAAATTCAAATTCTTCAATCAAAAAACCCTACCACCCAAAGAAATGCAGCCCAGTCAACGCATTGCCAGAATTTCAGCTCACCTTAATCCTCCTAATCTCCAGGTCTTTATAGCTTTCTCTTTACCCTAATGTGTACTCTGTTTTTGTCTATATATACGCTGCTATCTGTTTGGTTGATGAGAAATTTAAGTAAGAAATGACAAACCCCAACTCAATTTTGCTGTAATTCTTTGATGTTTTTCCTTCTTCCCAACAACCAATTTGATATAAGTATCTGCCAATTGCTTCCTTTATTTAGATGGATTTGGCATGGTCTGTGTTGTTGGTTTGTTTAATAATCATGTAATTAATTAAATTCGGCTGTTAATTGCTTTGGAGGTTTTATGATTTTTTGTTAGTGGTGTAGCTAATTAGATTTATGTGATTCAATTTTGTTATCTCTCTTTTTGGATTAGAGCCTTTTTTTTCTATGACAGTTTCTTTTTTCGTTTTGGTATTATGCTAATTGTTTATAAATTACGGACTAAAAGATGGAGGAAAGTTCTGGATTGCGACAAGCAAATTGTAGGGCAAAAGGTGGATCGTGCGGATTTAAAGTTGCAATCTTGGGTGCTGCAGGAGGCATAGGGCAGCCTCTGGCTATGTTGATGAAGATGAATCCATTGGTTTCAGTTCTCCATCTCTATGATGTTGTCAATGCTCCTGGTGTCACAGCAGATATCAGTCACATGGATACCAGTGCAGTGGTAATTACACTATTTTCTTTCTCTCATTTTTACTGTCAAATATCGACTCATTGGTCATTCTAAAGTTAAATCTAGACTGCTCTCTCTTACTTTTGGTGCCATTACTTATTCTTAAGGTTTTGTCTTTGATTACTTGCCCAAAAAAAAAAAAATCCTTAGTATTTTGGCATGCAATCATGTTTTAAGTCCTTGGCATGCAATCATGATTATTCCTTAATGTTTAGATGATAGTCATGTTATCTTAAGGTTCCACTTAACAGGTGACAAACTTTAGGCATAGAAAAGGAATGGAAATTTTGCATTTAAAATTTCCGTTCTTTGAGATGGAGGAAAACAATTATCACTGAACGTATTTAAATATTTTCCTTGGCTTAGTTTAGTTTTTTTTTGGTAACCATATTAACACGAAATTCATACAAGTTCTTGGGCTCTGATTCAAATAATGATCATGTTTCTATCTTGTGTTGGTCAGTATCTGAAAATGTAGAAAAGGGCTAGAAGCTTAATCTTTGAATTCTATAATTTTCATTATTTGTACCCAAAAAAAAAAAAAAAAGTTCTTACTGTTGAATCTAATCTAACTATTTTTACTTATACAAGATTTCACACTTGTAAAGTCAGACAATGCAAAACATATGATTCAGGACTCAGTGCTTTTCCTCTGTAATTTTGACAATGAAAAGGAATGAAAATGCTTATCTCAAGCTCCAAATTAATTATGCTGTTCTTTGATTATGTCCCATAGAACTGAACTAAACCTTTTGATATCTAGGTGCGCGGTTTTCTAGGACAAAAGGAATTGGAGAATGCTCTTATTGGCATGGACCTTGTCATCATTCCTGCTGGTGTTCCAAGAAAACCGGGAATGACAAGGGATGATCTGTTCAACATCAATGCAGGCATTGTTAAAACCCTTTGTGAAGGAATTGCTAAGTGCTGCCCAAACGCCATAGTCAACGTGATCAGCAATCCTGTGAATTCTACTGTTCCAATTGCAGTGCTGCCCAAACGCCATAGTCAACGTGATCAGCAATCCTGTGAATTCTACTGTTCCAATTGCAGCAGAGGTTTTCAAGAAAGCTGGTACATATGATCCAAAGCGACTGTTGGGAGTCACTATGCTTGATGTTGTCAGAGCCAATACTTTTGTGGTATGCACTACTTACTAGCAATGCCATTAGCTCATGTTCTTTATGCAGAAGTGGGAGAGTAAATTTTGGTTTTCCATTCTTAGTTGATGTAACTAAGAGTTGCAATAGCCACTTCTTGTTGTGCAATTTTGTGATCCAACTACCAGAAAATTGTTTGCCGAATCACCTTTGCTTTCAATTGAAATCCTTTGCTGACAGAAAATTCATATTTTAGTTGGCTGCTAGATCCTTTGATTGTCACGTTTAATTTATATTCCCTTTCTACCCTTGACTACTAAAACCCCAAAACACGAAGAAATGTATCTAGCATTAACTTGTGAGAAAATCCTATACTTGATTACATAAAGGATCCAATTATGCACTGTGAATATGCTTTGGTTTCTATTGCACATTAACTTATGCTTTCAATGCTTTGAAGGCTGAAGTTTTGGGAATTGATCCGAGGGAGGTTGACGTTCCAGTTGTAGGGGGTCATGCAGGGGTTACGATTTTACCTCTTCTCTCTCAGGTTTTGTGAACTTATTTCAATAGCTATATTTCTCATGTGTTCACGTGTAAAAGTCTTTTGAATATTGTTTTATGAGAGAATCTTCCCTCTCATTTTGGACAATTGTTCTTCTCTTATATAGGTTAAACCTCCATGCTCTTTTACCCCAGAAGAAACTGACTATCTTACAAATCGTATTCAGAATGGTGGAACTGAAGTTGTTGAGGTAAAAGAATTTGTTTAGTTTTGTTATGTTCTTGTTATGTAAGAATAAAGTTCACCACGTCAGAATTCTTTGGCTCAACATGGACCACATAAATGACCCAGAAAAATGGTTAATAAGACCCATGTCAAAAAAAAATTTAAATTTCAAAAAATACCTTAACTAATAAAACATAATAAGACCAATAAAATGGGCATACTTGACTTCTGCCAGACCAATTCCAGCTGCTTCATGTTTAAACAATTGTACTGTTGCTTTGGTCAAAGTTAAATCAGCCCCAGCAGTGACAGGATCTGGTAAAAGTAAAGCAACATTGAACTGACATATAAAATAAAATAAGACACAAATTAAACCAAAAAGTGATTACACAAGGTGCCAAATAGGCCCCGTGTGAAAATCCCAATTTTCCCATATGGTTCTTTACAGCCTGTACATCACCACTGATGCCTAGAGAGGCATGGGCTGAAAGAAAACCTAGAGACACAACTTTGGTTCAATCCTGAAATGCACATTAGTGATAAAGATTCTTCGATTGTAAATCCCTGCTTGAATTTTAAGTGATTACTCTTTACTTGTCATTATTTATTTTATTCACATACTCAGCCATGTTTTGTTGGATTTGCTGGCATGTTGATAGGCAAAAGCTGGTGCTGGATCTGCAACACTATCAATGGTTAGCCATTTTTATTCTTATCATATACTTTATTTTACTTATTATTTTTTCTATACCAAGAATAATCTGTTGGTTTTCAATTCTTGATTTTCACATTATAAAAAAACAGGCATATGCCGCTGTTAAATTCGCCGATGCATGCTTGCGAGGCTTGAGAGGAGATGCCGGCGTCGTTGAATGCACTTTTGTGGCTTCTCAGGTATGCTATCCAATCTCGTTTTGCACAGATCACTTATTCACTCTGCCTCTTTCCACATCTAATGATTTTGCATACTCTAGATGTTTGCATAATAGTTAGTGTGTTGTCATTGTAGGTGACTGAGCTTCCTTTCTTTGCATCCAAGGTACGGCTTGGCCGTACAGGAATTGAGGAGATATATCCACTTGGTCCCTTGAATGAGTCCGAGAGGTCAGAACTGAAAATTCTATAGCATCTTTGATGCTTGTGTTCTTGTCAAATGTTTCAATTGAAGTTCTAGTTTTCAGTCTCTCATATGTTCGCTCTGGTTCTTGACAGGGTTGGATTGGAGAAGACGAAGAAAGAGTTAGCGGCAAGCATTGAAAAGGGTATTTCTTTTGTCAAGACATGAGTAAGCCCCCATTAGCATGGTTTTGAAGCTGGCATGTCTCACCTCTTGCTCTTTGTTCTCCCAAATTTCACAGTTCTTTGAAATAAGTGGTTGGGTCTTTGTTGTATCTAAACAAGATAGAAGTGAGTTCCATGATATGTGGTGATGTGTTTTATGATATTTTGTCAGTAGAAGCAAGAGAGGTTTCAATGCCATTTCAATTGCTTTGACAGGTTTAGGTGAAATCCATTAATAAAGAGATGGGTATTTTTTAGCTACAAAGTAGTTACTACTATGATGTCATGTTTGAGTTCTAGATAGGATTAGGCGGGATTAACTTATTTTGTAATGAAAGTCTTATTTGGGAATAAGTTGTTCCATCTCTTCTAGGATAGAAATAATTACGCATATACTAGATGAAATAGTTGTTTACCAAACCATGCCATTTTGAAATAAATCTTCTTAGTACTATTCACAGGGTTTGGTTTGAGTTTTCTGGATTAAATTTTTTAAAAATTAATTTTTTTGGTTTTTGTGTTTTTTTATTTTTAGTGAATATTTTTTAAATTTTAAATATTTTTTTTACTTTTTTAGATGCACTTTACTTAGATGTATTTAAAAAGTAAAAAATTTGTGAAAAAATATTTTTAAAAATTAATAAGTACATAAAAATACAAAAATGTGCTGAATTTTTGTATTTTTTTTGTATTTTTGGTATTTAGTGAATTTTTAAAAGATTTTTTGTACAATTTTTTTACTTTTTAGGTGTATTTATGTTAGGTGTGTTTAAAAAGTAAAAAAAATTGCTTAAAATATTAAAAAAATTCAGTAAAAATAAAAAAATACGGAAAATAAGAAAGTAGAATTTTTTGAAAAGTGTTTTGAAAAACTGGAAACCAAGCAATGTGATTTGTTTTGAAACTTATTTTTCGAACATAAAATTGTTTTTTTAAAGTCGTGTTTTCAAATATAAGATAGTTATCACATATTACAAAATCTAAAGATGAAAATAAAAATTCCGTCCTGTCCCCTTACCCCTGGTTTTGTTTTCAAATTATGTTGTGGGTTTTTTCTAACTAATTTTTATTTTATTTATAAAAAATTAGAAAATAGAAATTAAATAGAGTGAAGTATTTGTGGAATCTTTTCGGCCAGATCTATCATGGGCTCAACTCACGATGTTTGGGCTTCAGCTTATGAGGACTTGGCATAGGGCTTATTTATGCCAAACTGATTTAATTTGGACTGGCTCAACTTAAAGAGGCTTTTTTTATTGTCCTCTCCCTCCTCATCCCTTATTTCTTGGCCCGTAATGATCCATCATCATTTTTATAAATAGCACTTTTAGGTTCACCCGTGTGACAAAACTATAATAGTGGCATAGTAAAATATTGGTTTTTCATTTAGAATTGTTTTTAAGAAAAATAATTAATTAATTAATTAAGCAGTGATAGGCTACACAGATAGTCGATCAACGGGTATTTCTATTTACACACTTTTTCTTTTTTGCACCAAGATGTTAATGGATTAGTGAGTTAAGTTAGTACAATTAGAACAATCAATACTTATTCGAAAGATATTTTAAAAATATTATTTTCTAATGAAACAACGAAACATTGAGATACTATTTTTAACAATAACAACCCTTTTTCCCACAATGGGAGAACCTCTTTAACTTTCTCAGAGCACAGATATCTTGCTTTTTAAATGGGTGGGGTCAGTGCAAGAAAATGCAATTGCTATGTTGCATAAATAGACACAAGGCATGATGAGAAAACGTGTACTTAGTTTGTTAAAGCTTTGACCCATAATTGATGGAGGCTTTAACTACGAAAGAAAAAATGATTGTATTTGTATGTGTATACATTATACATGCATAGTTTTGGTTGAGCAATGATGAAGAAACAGAGCCCATTATATATTTACATGATTAAAGGCCCAACCAACCTTTCCTCACTCCCTGTCTCTGTTCTCAACTCCAAGCCTACCTCCCTTCTATGTTGACCCCACAACTTCTCTGTACATCTTTCTCTACTAAACACAAGTGTACGTAAATTTTTTACAAAATAAAACACACCAATCTCTCTCTATCTCATTAATAGACATATCCTCTTTTAATGTTGATAGATATATAACTAATTTGGCTGGCTTTGGGTTGGGCCCAATTTTATATGCACGACACATTGTATGCCGTCTATCATAGTTAAGTGACTCGTATTAGAGATTCTATGAAAAAGACTAAGATAGGACAAACACAAGGTATGCAATATTACTTAAAAATTATAAATCTCTCCTCGTAATTTTTCTCTCTATTCTTATTATGTTCTCATTGTATTCTACTCAATTAAAGGAGTGCTAATTGAATTATCCGAGGGTCTTTAGATGATACAACACTGATATCATTAAAGACTCATCTGTTCTTTTATAGATCATTGAAAACCATACAAATTTGATCTTCATCAATTGTTTTAATTGAGATTATAAAATGAATCAAATTATTTGAGTTCGAAACCTGATGAGGCACTCCAATTATTAGTACCTATATTAGAGTTGAGTTGAGAGTGTAGTTTCACTTGATTTTCATGATAGAATTGAGCTAAAAAGCAAATTTTATCCGTGTGCATGCGTTTACATTGTATCTATTGTAGAATATATTATTAGCTTATTATTATTATATATATATTATTATTATTATTATTATATATATATATATAATTAGACTCAATAATTTTATACATATTATAAAAAATTAAAAAAAAAAAGAAAAAGTAACTCAAACGGATAAATAATAGGCTATTAGTTGACTCCAGTGAGTTTGCTTTTCAACCTCGCCGAGCAATAAAAAGTTGCAATGGATAAATTAAAAATGATGGTGTAAGCACTGCGGGTTTTAGGGTTTGCTTTGATGGATACGATGATGGAACCCATGTTCATCATATATTATTTTTTAGTGTATGTATGTAGTTAGGCCCCACATTTTCCATCTCATTACACATGTTCCACCTCTTTGCTAAAATTATTTAAAAACTAGTAAGTTAGTGGCAAACTCTCTTTTCATTTCCTTTACAGCTCTATCTCTTTCTTTTCCTCTGATTTGTGTCCTATCTCCACCACCTTTTTTTTTCCTCATGTTGATTTTTCAAAAGTTTTTAACATTGAAAAGGAGAGTCACTTCCCTCCTTTATTTTTTTGGCTTTTCCAACATCACCTCATATGTCTCCTTCCCCTCATTTTATTGTGTTTCAATCACAAATAAATAATAATAATAATAATTAATAAATAACATATTGTTTTGATACTTGATTATTGGGTGCATGTAGAGGGCACACACTCAACAATAATGTTTGACAAAGTGGAATACAAGAAATGTGTCGGCCAAAATCAGGGCTACAGTGTTATAGTTCTTTAGTTCAAAGTCTTTGTACAACGTTTCTTTGGGATTTAGTTAGTGGTGTGGCTTTGGATTAGAAAGCAACATTTGCAAATCTATAGATATGCTTCCTACTAAAGTTTTTATTTGCCTTGTTCTTGTACAAGAAGTGTGGAAATTTAGGCCAATCCTATGTTAAAATGTATGTATCATTATGTCTTTTTTCTGGCTATAGTAAAATGAAAAAGAAAACAAAATCCCAATTCATCTAGCAAATTCATTTCTCGCTAAAATTCACTTTAGTCTCTCTTAAAAACAAAAAGGAAAAGAACTTGTCAATGGAGGTTAGAGAAAAAAAATATATTAATAGTTAAAATCATAATTTTTTTTATTAATGTGTAATAATTTTTGAAGATTATCACTTATTGGTAATTTTCCTTAATAACAATTAGAATAATTTTAAAAATTATAAATATATCACACTAACTAATTCTTTTAAGCCTGTGTTTGGCAAGTGGGTTTGCAGGCTTTTTTGGCTATTTTAGCCACAAAAAACAAAATAGGCTATTTTAGCCATAACAAACAAAACATCACATCAAATCCATAATCATTACATTCTTCTCTCACAAAAAAATTCAAAAAAGTCAAAAAGCCAAAAAACCCTTCTCAAACCAAGCTTTTAAGCCCAGGCTAAAATAGCCAAAAAACCAAAAAACTAAAAAGTCAACCCACTTCCCAAACGGAGGCTAAATTATTTTTTAAGGAAAAAAAAAAAAAACCTTAAAGTGGTTTGGTTTAGAATCAAAGTGTACGTTGGCAATTTTGACATAGTAGTAGTCAAATCAAAATAATACCCACCTTTGTTATGAGACTAGATGATATTTGATTATTAAATAGAGTAATGCTAGTTATAATGTAAATTAGTGATTTTAGAGAAATATTAAATCAGTAATATTTATAAAAAATAATTACAGTTTAGGAAATTTTTAAAAATATTAATAATTAAAATTATAAACTTCTCTATGAATCTGTAATTATTTTTTAAAAAGTGGACTAAATTGTAATTTCCTCTTTTAATTATGACCAAAAGTAACCTTAATAATTACATAAGTAATATTAGTTATAGTGATTCATAAAATACAAATCTTTTGAGGGCATGTATTGTAATCTTTCTAAAATTTTGAATTACTTTAATTCGTTTCTTTATTTTTTTGGATACATTTCTCGTAACCTCTCAATGAAGTAGTGTATGGGTTGTGCGTACTAGTTGTCTAGTTGTTCTTTCTCACTTTTTTGACTTTATATCTTATCTATAATATTTGTTTTTTTTCTCCCAAATTCCTTTACTTTTTGTTATTTTCTTTTGGCAAATCTTTCTGATGATTTTAATATTGGAACACTTTTGGAAAAACGTCGCTCTTGCCTATAAGGCTACCATCTTGGTCATTAATTGGAGTTAGGTTAAAAGAAAGTAGAAATACCTTTCTTTCTTTTCTTCTCCAACTAATCTTTCAAGCTTTTCTGAAAGTTTTGTTTTTCAAGAACAGTTTCTCTTCGGTCTACAACGGATTTGACCACGCGGTTTGGCCCAATGCATCCATCATGAGCTCTACTTTCATGATTCGTGTTCATTTTATAAGCTTTAGTGTGTATAGATTATACATAAATAAAATCATACTAATCTGATAATTATAAAAACATAATTTTATCACATCTGTCTGAAAATAAATAAAAAAAATAGACAATTTATATTTTATGAAGGCAAATATGATCAATAGTGTAGTTATAATTTTTTGATCAATTTTTTCATGCCTGATCTATGTGTTTATACCTATAAAATAAATAATTTGAATCATAAAAGTAGAACTTGTTATAGACCTAAAGGGCCGAACTACAAAGTTCAATCCACTACTGTTGTCAACTGGGGAGAAGTTGGTTTTTTTTTTTTTTTCCTTCTTCCCTCATTGATCTACATAGAATCTCCTTGTGTATCATAGATTAATTGATCTA